TTTTTTATGTTTGATTATTTATTATAAAATGATATAGAAAAATAACTTAATTATAATTATAATATAATAAAAAAATAATTTAAAAATATCATATTTTTTATAAAAAAAATAAAAAATAAAAAAATTGACGGGTACGGGTACGGGTACGGGTATACCCGATACCCGACGGGGACGGGGATGGGGATGAAAATCACATACCCGACGGGTACGGGGACGGGGACGGAGATGAGTTTAACTCGCGAGGACAGAGACGGGTATCATGAAACCCGTACCCGACCCGCCCCATTGTCATCCCTACATATAATCATTTCACATAACTTTGTAATAGTTTAATAAGTTATAACATTTTTACTAATAAAAAAATACTTATAACCTTCCAACTTTGTGATCAACACAATTTTATTTTACTTCACAAAAAAAAATACACAATTTTTATTTTAATTACTTGTAAGATGTAAATCCTACATATCTATAAACATGTAAGTTATCACACAGTATGAATGGCCTTTCGATAAAGTATGGTCTCATTTGGATTTCAAATGAGTACAAACCCTTGCTTCCTTGTAAATTTTGCCTGGTCTACAATAGTAACCTTTGCTAGGATTGCAATGACTATCCTGTGAGCAAATGCACAAACCTTCTAAGGCACATCCATCCTTCACTATTGTGAGACCATCCTTTAGCCCAAGCACTTGGTCTGTCCAAGTACTTGAGAAAAGTCCTTGTGAATCATATCTCTCTTTAACCCTAAAAAATTTCTGTGCATTTAAGTACTTCTTGATGACTCCTTCAAACGCCAAGTTCCTATTCTTACCCCAATGAGGTAGCCCTCCATATTTGAAAATCCCAAGTTGTTCAATCTCTTCAATAATGTCCTCATAAAGCCTAGGGGTCATAGGGTCCTTGCTACGGTAATAGGTGATGTCAAAGTCTAGAGCATCCTCTTGCTTCCCCAAGTATGCACTTGAAGCCTTGACATAACGCATGAGGATTCCATTGTAAAGCTCTAAGCCACACAATCCCTTAGGCTCCAATTGAACTAGCTTTTGCACATCTTCAATGAAATTCTTCACAAGGGACAACCTAATGCTGAATGTGGTTTGGTGGAAAAACTCTCCCTTCACCCTTGAATCCCAGGCACATGCTGAAAGCCTTCCATCTTGAAGACTATCCAAACATGACCCAGATGCCTGAAGGCGATTCTGAAATCCAATTACAGGGTATCCTGTGAAGATTATTCCTGCAAGTACCAAATGTAAAACAAATATACTTAATATTAAAATATTGTTTCATTAATAAAAGTTACTCTTCAATAAAACAAATTATTCATTAGTTGTTATTATCTTTGAGACATATCATCGTTTATGTTAAAGTATAAATAGTTACTACTAAATTTGGACTTGAATAGTACCATTGTTGGTAATTCCATAAGCTGCGTTGAGGAGGGTATTCGTTGTGGTCTTTGAACTGATGCACTTTCCATTGGCATCATTAGTGGACTCTTGAACATCCTCTGCCGCCCATTAAACCAAAAACAAAAATGTTAGCAACATCCTTAGAAGAAAATAATTTATTTTGAGAAATAAAAATTAATATTTTAAAAATTAGACCAATTATTAAACGGACAAATTCAAAATTTAATGATTTAACCTGATTAATTATTGTCAAACTAATATTGATAAAACATTAATAAAAATTAAATAATACTAAATAAATATAATACCATGATTTTATTATATTAAAAATTAAAATAAAACATCAATTTATAGGTTTTTAGCATTCAAAAAGTATATGTAAAAGTTTAGATATAATATTTAAGTATAAATTTTAAAAAAATATAACTATGATCATTTATAATAACAAGTTTATATATAAAATAAATAAGTATCAAATCAATATAATATAAAATTGTAAATTGATATAAATGACTAAATTATAAATTTATTAAAAAAATATTAAAAATAAATGAAAATATTTTATTCCAATTTGTAATTCTTGTTAAATATTTTTATTTGTCGTAAAAATATTTTAAATAAACTTAAAAAAAATTAAAATGTTTTTTCAACAATACTATTTTCTACACCGGTTTGCATTAATTATAAAATACACCTCTTTCTTTAAACTAACAAACTAAACTAGACCTATTTTCAGTCATACCGATCCAATCTAGTCTGCAAAACTATGGTTAAAAAGAATAGTAGTACATAGTTAATTAATGTATTAAGGTTATAAAATTTAGATGAAGGCAAACCTGTGGTTCTTATGAGAGCTAATGCAACTGAAGGAGTGGGACGAAATGGGAGAAAGTCATAGAGACCATTGCCCGATGTGTTAATTGGGACACGATCGTCAACGCGATATACAGCTTTTCGTTGACTTGGGTACCACGTTATATCCGCAAACTCGTGTGCATGTCCAAAACCACCCACTTCGTCTCCCAAATCTGAATCATCTTTTGCCACGTACGTGATGGATCGCTTGAAGAGAGGTTCTAGTTTCAGAGTAATCTGAAAAATAAATCACTAACCATATCAAAAAACCTTTACTTCAATTCCATACTTTTCTTTCTCCACCATCTGGCCATGCGTGAAAATGGGTCGTGTTAAAAAAGTTATAAAGGGAAGATTACAAGAATTTAGAGATAAATTACTACTTGTACTTTTTCTTTGTAAAATATAGGTACTTGATATGAAAGTCTTGTAACTTTTCATGCCAACGCTTGCCACGTTACCCAAGTCTTAAAAAACGAATGCACTTTCAACCAAGCGCGAACTTCAATATTTTATAGTGGAACTATAAATTTTATGTTTGAAAGTTTTTGTTTTATCGTGTTAAAAATTATATTATTAGCTGGAGTCTACGATAACTCAAGTATCCCCCATTGTAAAGGTAGATGCGTGTTTTTGGCTGGCAACTTATATATCCTTGTCAACCCTTCTCACATTTTACATCACAATAATAATAAATAAATAAATAATTATCATAGACACATGCTTTACGATTGGATAATACATATCACTAAAAATATATGTTGAATTTTATTCAAAAAAATCAACATTAAAAATTAGTGTATAATTATATGTCAAATAAATTTATATTTATATATATTAAATTTATTTATATATCTCTTGTAACGCACATAAATATTTTGTGTGATTTTGAAAATTTGCAAATTAACATATTAGTATAACCGTGTGAAAATAATAAAGCCGTCAAGTTACCTACTTTTAACAAGAGTTCACACACATTCACAAAATTAATAGTATCTAAATTAGGATATAACTTTTCAAAAATCCTTGTATAAACAGTATGTTCCTAAATTTGTGTAAAAAATGTTGAGAAAAATAAGTATTTATTATTATTATTATTATTATTATTATTATTATTATTATTATTATTTTAAATTAGCAAGCATAGTGCTCCACAGACCCAGGAAGTAGAAAACACATAGTCTAGGGTTTAGACAGTAACCAATAAGTATAACAGATCCTGATGAACAGTGGAAAGTCACATTGGTCCAACTAACAATTTGACATATCACAAGCATTCTTTGAATCTTAGTTTATTACTATGGTTGGGTTCACGCGTTTATCTACATTCTTGATAACCCTTATATGCAATGATTACAAAATCACCTTTATTATTCGTAATTCGAGATATTTGTTTCTCAATTAACTTTCAAATTTTATAATTTATTCTCACAATATATAAAACTCAAAATATACAAAATATAATTAAGACATTTTACATATTTATCAATAGATAGGGGTAAGTTCCCACCAAACTAATGTCAAAGATTTGAATTTAAATTTGAAAAAATATGAAGTAGTACTGAATTGAATCGAAGTTGATTGTATATAATTATTATCTGATTCAGTGATGGGTTATTGCATTGTTCTTGTTATCTTTTAGTTGCGCACCTGGAATTTATTGATGGTAGCTGACTACACCACGACATAAAAGATATGCGGTGGCCAATTTAAAAAAGGATGATCTCAGACATCTTTGTCCACAATATGTAAGACTATTTTATATGCTTCAAAATTTTGATTTATTTGCTACCTAATGGAACAAATGAATCAGAGGCACAAAAGTGATTCAGAATATTTTGTTATTAGCCTATGTAGATCTCCAATTTGACAAAGTTGATCCCCATTGTCTTCTAGTGGTTGGCACAAACACGTTATTGATGAAATTAAGAAGAAATTAACAAGTTACTTGACCCATAGATGATGGGTTCAGCTTATGCCTGTTTCTAGGACAGAACGTTACAAAAATTCAAATTCTGATTCTAGGCGAGCTGGATAGTTTTTTTTTTTTTTGTTCGTCCCTGAAGTATCCACAGCCGACAGCAGTGACTAATCTCCTCGCTACATTGGAGGCACCTCAAAGGGTGGGATTCGAACCTCTGACCTTGCTTAAGCGTAGATCAACCCCTACCACTGAACGGCGAGCTGGATAGTTTGGTTCATATTTATTTTTTAAATTATTTTATTTAAAACACTATGAAGTCTTCTCTTTAAAAATAAACTAATTCAAATAACACTCACTTCTTAAATTAACATAATATTAAAATTTCATTAAGTTAATTGATAAGTTTATTTTTTAAATATATTTTTAATCTCTCAAATTTGGAATAAATTTATTTTGGTGCTCTAAATAAAAAATAATAATTTTTTATTCTTGTAATTTAAAAAAAAAACTTATTTAAGTTTTAAAAACAAAACTTATTTAGCCCATTGTTTGTTTCATGAAATTTTAAGAAAAAATAAGTATGAGAGGAAGAATTCATGTAAGTTAGAGAAAATAAATGCTTTAGTTGTTTGGAAGATGAGAAAAATGAGAGAATAGAGAAAAAAAAAATAGTGGACCATCTCTCCAACCCGACTGAGTATAAGGATATTATTTTAAGTTTTGGATCTAAAAATTAGACACGTTGAACGTTTTATATTTTAATTTGGCTTAACCATGAGCCAATGTCCTATATTTCTTTTAACAAGTCTAAACTTTTTTGAACAAATATATATTGCTAGCAAACTTATTTAATAGATAATATTTTGTATAATATATATTTATTTTACAATTTAATCATACAAAATATTAAAATTGATATAATAGGTTAATAGATTGAATTAACCCAATTCTATAGTAGAAGATATAATAGGTTAATAGGTTGAATTATTCCAATCCTATTCTATTCTAATAGAAGAAAATGACTCTTAACAAAACTCCCATGTTAAGTAGCCACAAAAATGAAACTTTTACGACTCATCTCATACCCACTCCTACTTAAAATATCAATAATAAAAATAGATTAAATCAATTGTATATCAAATAAGTTTAATATGATGTTTTTATTAAAAATATATTCATAGATGAATTTCGTGTGACAAATTTTCTTTTTCTCTCATCTACATGTTACATTTATCTATCGATAGTGATGGTACCTAATTCATTTATTAGTGTTACATGTATTTGCTGTATAAATTATAAAGATGGTATTTTATAAGTCAATGTCATAATTATCACTAGGATTTCCTCAATCATGACTATGTTAAATGACAGAAAACTGCTGCATTTATAGTGTGCTGCTGACTTCTCTCCATTGTTCTAAACTTCAACCAGAAGTTTTGGGTGAAAATCTAGCTACCCTTTTTTCTATGGCAACATTTAGAAGAATGTTAAGCACACCCTTCTCAAGAAAAGTTTGGTTAAGGAACCGGTCAAATACATATTTACGTAAAACTAATTATATTTCACTTAATATTTGCACATAAATTAAAGCTAACTGAATAGAACTTAACTAAGCCTTATAAATCTGCGATAATTTTGATACTATTTTATGAGTTGAATTTGACTTGATCTTATAAATTTATGATAATTTTAATAATATTTTGTGAATTGAATTTGACTTGATCTTATAAATTTATAATAATTTTAATAATATTTTAAAAAATAAGATTAAACTTAAATTAATTTTATAAAATTGATTTAGTAAAGTTGAGTCAGAAATATAATTTAATTTTTTTTTTTGGAGAAAAAATATCAAAGATAGAAGATATAATAAAATAAGATGTTGAAAAAGGTAGGAGGCAAATAAAAGAGAAAGCATACCTGTGAAATAACTCCTAGCACACCAAGTGACACTTTAGCTGCATTGAGATCTTCATTTTGTTCATTGAGTGTCTCAACCTTGGCATATCCATCTTGAGGACCTGAAGGCCTAACAATCCTAATCTCCACCACATAATCATGGACAGAACTACCCTTCCCCCACAAAGTGCTTCCATGAGCACCGGTTCCCATGAGCCCCCCAATGGTCAAACCCCACCAATATGGTGCATATGGCAAGGCCAACCCTACCCTAGCAGCCTCACCAATGAGTTGCTTCAATGTGACACCACTCTCCACTCTCATTGTCCTTGCTTCCACATCAATGCTCAGCACTTGGTTCAGGTACTTGGTGCTTATAAGCAACCCGTTTTGGCCTTCAGGACACACCAACTTGGGGATGCTGTGGGAGAAACGCGTGGCCACTTTCATCTTTGTTTTGTTTCTTGTTGCTGATGCAACCACTGACACGAGCTCTTGCTCCGTTGTCGGGTACAACACCTGAGATGCGTTGCAGATGCTTCGGTCGGGGAAGGCGCCATAGGAGTTTGTGATGGTGCATGTTGTGTTGTTTGAGGAGCACTTTATTGGATCCTCTGGCGGAGAAGAGAGCACCAAGGAAGAGAAGAAGAGAAAGATAAGGGTTGAACTCAAGGCTTTGTGTGACATCCTTTTGGATCTAAGAATAGCATGTGCTTTTGTGATATGCTTTAGACCGTATATATATATAGTTTGAACCATCCCCAAAATCCCAAAACGAGGTGCAATCATAAAAGGACAAGAGAAAGAGAATATTGAGATTATTTAACGCGTGAATGCAGAAGGATGTGCTTACAAAATGTGAGTTGAACAAAACTCACGTTTTTTTTTTTTACCCATTGATATACTTTTTCACCTAGTACATTCAAATGCGTGAACTTTAATTTGGTGTCCCGCAAATGGTAATCCAAATACACACGAAATAAAATATCAACATATTGTAATTACAATATATATATATATATTGTAATTGGGGTAATAAGATAGTTTGTACGGTTAGTTTTAAATTAATTAGGAAAACTTATAAGGATAAGATCACAAGAGACGCTTACAAATTATTTTGGAGTAATTTTTACGTGTATATCTTTTACTTAAAAAAAATAAAATAAAAAATAAAATAAAAACTAAACCGGAACAGAATTTATTAGTCAAGTCATAGATGTAATAGAAAGAATAATTATTAATTTTCTGATGGAGAATTTGCATTCGATTCCAAGTCAAAGATTAATTAATATCATACTTTAAAGGACCAAAGTTTATGAAAAGATTTCGGAATTTTAAAAAGAAATCAAAGATGAAATGGGTTTTTATAATATTGAGGTGTTGATATATCATTAGTCAAACAAACAGTGATATGTTTAATAATTCATGTGTAACGAGAAAGAGGAGAAAATTGAAAAGAAGAAAAGGAAAAGAGAGATATAAAAAAGAAGGCAGTGAATGCTAACGTTTTTCATTTCCATAGTGTTTTGGTTATATATGAAGCTGTTAGCATATATAATGAAGAGTGGAGAGCAAGGAAACTAGGATAGAGCTTTAATCGAGTATTTCTTGTTTCAAACTCAACCTCAAGCTCCACATTAAGTATTACAATTCTGTGGGTTGGTATCTTGAAAAGGTAAGCATGTGTTAAATTTACATAATATAAATACCATTATTAGTGTGAGAGTTGAATTTTTTTACACACCCTTAAGTTTATTATTTGTTTTTACTTGTTTGAATAAATTGGAGGGTGAACCAGGAGAAATAAATAAATAATATTGAATTTATATAAATTAAAAATGACATTTAAGAGAAAAAAATTAAACATTTTATTGTATTATTTTTCTTAACTAAAAAATATTATTTATCTATTTATTCATGTTAAAAAAATAAAAATAAAAAACTGGAAGAATAACTCTCCTCTTTCAAATAAAAAATAAAAAACATTTCTTTCCTATCTCGTTTAATTTTTATATATTTTCTTTTCTCTTTCTTTCATTGAAACAAACAATGAGTTAGTGTCTTGTGAACTGAATGTTCCGGAAAAATAAAAGTGTATGTGTCGGTTTTAATTAACTATGTATGCATTCTTGTTTATTACACGTGACGAGTGGGTCTAATAAGGACTTCTTTTAAATTGAAATGATGATTTTTTGTTGGATTGGCTTTGAGCACAAATACACCTGTCCTAAACTTGAGACTTAAAATAAGAAAAAATAAAAAATAAAATAGAATAAGTGTTGCTATGCCTTCAATCTGGCTCTATGCTTTCTTTGAACTGAAGGGTTAAAATACACAATAATGATATATACTCATAAATTTTACGTTGTTTTGATGCTTTCTATATTTCTTTTGTATTTTTAGGATATTATATCACCAATTAAATCTTATATACTTTTCTTTTTCTTTTTCTTTCTCTTCACGCGTCTTGAGAAGTTTTCAGTAATCATTTTTCTTAAAATATATGCTACTAGCTAGTCAAAAATTAATAAATAAAGAAATAAAGAAAAGAAGTTATCTAGCACTTTCTCTCCACTTATACTCATAGTTGAAGCCAACACCACCTACACATATTTAAACATATTCTATTTATTGCCACATCTATGGTAAAATTAATGGTCTCTGAGTGGAGAGTGGAGACCCTATAAAACTTGCACATTTATGTGTGCATACTAGGAATTTTAATCAAAAGTTTTTTTTGAAAAAAAAATTAATGACTCTGGCCGGCGTCAGGTTCATGTCATTGGTTGGTTGGACTTGGGTTTAGTTACATTTTTTTTTCCTTTTATTACTATTTTTAGGTGTAATTATCTTTTTTTTTCCTAATTCCATAAATTTATCTTTTAATTTTTATTTTAATTTCTATACAACTATATATACAACTATATATGAAGTAAAAAAGAAACAAAAATAATATGTATAAAAACTAAAATGAAAATTTTTAGTTATAGAAACTAAAAAGTAATCTATGAATGCATGTCTCATAAAAATTATCAATTATGAATTTAATACTCATTAATCATACGATTAAAATCCATTATTCATAAGCAAGAAAAAAACTGATTTCACAGATATGTAATCAATTAATTGCATTTAATTTTATTAATCTTGTAATATTTTTTAAATTTCCTTTGTTATAAATATCTATAAAAAGAAATAAAAAAAATAAAGTTGTGCAACTAAGGGCTCATATATTGGTATAAAAAAAAGTCTCATATATTAGTATAAAAAAAAAAGTCATATACTAAAGAAAAAATATTTTAGGATGAATATCACTAAGTGAAATATAAATAGTTGAAAACATGTGTTTTTCGTTGTTTATAAAAGAAAACATTAAGGATATCTAAATATTTTTTTTTGGTAAAGATAGAAAATATTACAAAAATGGTCGTAATGAGGATTGAACCTAGGTATTCATACTTCTAACTATCACTTCCTACATAACCACTAGGCTAACCATAATGGTTAAGGATATCTAAATATTTAATAACTAGTAACTATATTCAAACTATGCACAGATTTACGTGTATAAATAATAATATAATTAAATTTTGAATATATTTTTAATGTTTATAAAATAAGTAAGTTTCGATTTTAGTTTTTGATTTTTTTTTTAATTTGTAAACATATTTTTAGTCTTTGTAATATAACTAAGTTTTAAATATATTTTTAGTCTCTATAAAATAAATAAGTTTCAATTTTGGTTCATGAATTTTTTTTCTCTGTTTTTATTTTTCTAAAATTTATAAACATTATTTTTAGTTTTTGTAATATATTTTTAATTCTTATAAAATGTGTAAGATTTGATTTTGGTTGTATAAAATATTTCTCTTTTGATTTTTATCTCTCTAAATATAAAATTATTATTATTAGTTTGATAATTTTTACAAAATTAAAAATAATAACTTTTAATGACTTAATTAAATGACATAATATTTATCATTCAAATTTAATGTATAAAATTAGTTGTAATTAAATATAAATATTTCATGTAAATATCATTATGGAACAAACTTTTTAAGATAATTTTTGTAAAATTTTTATAATTTTAATTTATTTTAAAACTTTTAATAACTATTAATTAATATTTTCTTATGTCAGATCAATATATACATATATATATATATATAAAGATACAATATCCTTTTATAATTTTATTAATAAAAAGTACATATAGTTTTGTATGTGTTTTTTTTTAAAAGATGTAATTTGTAATACTATAAGTTGTAATAATGTTATCTTACTCCTAATTGCATTATGATACTAAGTTAAGATGTTAGTGTTGAGGGGCTCATGGGGTCTGAGGATTCTTGTTGAGCTTTAGTGGTATTGGGAGAGGGTTCTAGGTAGACACCCAGTGTGACCCAAGAGAGAAGAGGTTTATTTTTTAACAAAGCCTCATAAACTCATTTCCCTTAGCTTTTTAGAGAGAGAATTCTAGAAAGAAGGTCTCTGGTCTGTGAAATCTTTTTCTCTCAATCTTCTTCTCTTCTTCTTCCTGATTCCTTTATAAGTTGTGTTCTTATGATTCAAGTGGTGAAAACATTGAATCAAGTCATTGATTTTGTTGCGGAGCCTGGTCCTTTTTCTTCTTCTACCTTGAATTCAAGTTGTCTAAGGTAAGGGAAGCTAGATTTTTGCTTTTGTGAAGTTGATGAGTTGTTGATGGTTCTGTTGTTGTATGCTACACAAAAACATTTCAATTCGTGATTGTGTGTGTTGGGATATAAACAAGTCCCACATCGATAAAATATGATAAAAAATAACAACTTATATAATATAAACATACTTCAATAATAGAGAGGCCTTTTGGGTAATAACCAAAAGCAAAACCGTGAGGGCTAAGGCCCAAAGCGGACAATATCTCATCATTGTGAAGTATGTTTGTGTAATAACCTTATAAAAATAACCTTCATAAAAATATACTCTCAGACAAATATACCATAAAATAACCCCAGCTCTGGTATCAGAGCCGCAGGTTAGATTCAGTGACAACCAATAACCCTTATAAAAAAAATGATAATGATAATGTGATATAAGGTTAGGTCTCTTGTTTGAGGGGAGGATTGTTGGGATACAAACAAGTCCCACGTCGATAAAATATGATAAAAAATAACTTATATAATACAAACATACTTCAATGATTGAGAGGCGTTTTGGGTGATGACAAAAAGCAAAACCGTGAGGGCTTAGGCCCAAAGCGGACAATATCTCATTATTGTGGAGTATGTTTGTGTAATAACATTATAAAAATAACTCTAACAAAATATCCCCTCAGACAAATACCAATAAAATAACCCCATCAGTGTGCATGGATCATATTTGAGTAGGTTGAGGTGAAAGTTGGGGTTTTGGGTTCCTTGTGAAGAATGAGATGAATTGAGATGATTCATAGTTGCATGTTGAGTTTATGTACATTTTTGAGTTGATTGTGATGTCTATAGCTACTATTTGGTGTTGCATGTGTTGGATTTTGGTTGCATTGCAGGTTTAAGGCTCAAATCAAATTATGCAAATATAGAACTCTAATACCATATCAAGCATGCCTTCAATGCGTCAAGCATTGTTCTAACTCGAGGCTCTTTGTCTCAATCACACCAAGCATAGGATTAGTGACGTTAGGCGTGAGGAGAAAGACTCATCTTAGGTTGAAACTAAGTCGAGCATGGTTGAACGATGTTGGGCGTGGGACTCCTGGGAGCCCTCTGACTTGATGGTGTCAGGCCCAATAGTGTGTGGCACCCAACATGGTTAAG